AATCAGTTTTATAGTTGTTGTATCAACACCATAGTTTACTGAATAGTTACACTTCATGGTCATGAATCAATTTTATAGTTGTTGTATCAACACCACAGTTTACTGAATAGTTACACTTCATGGTCATGAATCAGTTTTATAGCTGTTGTATCAACACCACAGTTTACTGAATAGTTACACTTCATGGTCATGAATCAATTTTATAGTTGTTGTACCAACACCACAGTTTACTGAATAGTTACACTTCATGGTCATGAATCAATTTTATAGTTGTTGTACCAACACCACAGTTTACTGAATAGTTACACTTCATGGTCATGAATCAGTTTTATAGTTGTTACTAGTACAAAAGCCCATCAAAATGATGAGAAACCACTGTGAATGATTAATGAAAATTATAGAATTTAACAATAACAAATTTATCTGTACCTCCAAAATGCACCTACTCTTCACTTATATCAGGAGTCTTGAAGTAATTCTTTAATCACAATATTTTTAGTAAAAACTATGCAGAAAAATGAAATGTTATCATGAGCAAAGGTACGTGTGCACTCTGAAAGAGACTTAAATAGCACTCCTGAGCCTTTTCACTGTACCCTAGGTTAGGAAATGGAAAACACAGTGTGGATATTCTAACATAAATTTTCCACTCTTTCAACTGTACAAAGGATAAAAGATATTTGGTAGTAATAAAGGTTTTATTTTCTTTATGTTTTAATGCCAAGTAAATAATATATGTGTTAAAATACCAAAAGAATATTTATTAATTAACATTCATTCACCACTTAAATCTTATTAAACACTGACTCTATAACGTTAGTAACAGTAGGTCTATTTTAGTCTAATTTAATACATAAATGTCACATAAGGCTTAGCTAAAACACTACTTGGTAAATTTTATTTTGCTTTTAACTACAAATTAATGTCATAAAAATTCTGAATTAAACTATTTTACTGTTATATCACTGAAGTTATAAAAAAATAAAGAGTAAAAAAACAAACATTCCTAACAAATCAACATGAATATTGAGCATTCAACATAAACACCATAGTTGGCCTAAGAACAATGAAGTGATAGTTTTGTTGCTAACTGACAGTGTATATTGTTGAGCATTACCAAAAAAGGAGAGTGAACGTATTCTCAACAGAGAACAAAGGGAATAAGCCTTTTATAGTTAGTGATACACCACAGTTTTCTGAATGGTTACACTTCATGGTCATGAATCAGTTTTATAACTGTTGTACCCAGGGGCAGACTAAGTGTGAGACAAGCCAGGACTATTATGATAGAGACCAAAGACTAAAATAAAAAACTAAACCTCAAGATATGTTTTATTTTTGGTCATTTGAATGGCTAATACTTGGTTATGTATTAACAGATAAATACCATATTAATGTGGAGCAATATTACTTAACCACACAAGGTATTGTTAGGTATTAATACCTGTACGTAATTTTAGTGTGAATCAGTAATGAGTTTCAGTATATTGCTTTCATTTTATGGAGACAAAAAACACAGTTACATCTCTTAGTTATATACACAAACACCTTTAAAAATTGAGAAGCAAAGCATTAAAAACAAATTACTTGTTTGTAGCCTTCCATGATGCCTTTTGTTTTCTCGTATCTTCTGTGAAGGTCAGAAAAAGCACTTTCCACACTCTGGAGGTCTTCTAGAGCCTGTCCATTCAACAACATTCAACATTACCATGACAAGATTCTTACTTTTAGAGATATTCTACAATACATTACCATGGAAATCATCTTATTGTATGAGGTATTCAATAACACACTACTATCAAAATTCTTCTTACTTTTAATTATATTCTATGATACATTACCATGGAAATCATCTTATTGTATTCAATAACACACTACTATCAAAATTCTTCTTACTTTTAATTATATTCTATGATACATTACCATGGAAATCATCTTATTGTATTCAATAACACACTACTATCAAAATTCTTCTTACTTTTAATTATATTCTATGATACATTACCATGGAAATCATCTTATTGTATTCAATAACACACTACTATCAAAATTCTTCTTACTTTTAATTATATTCTACAACATATTACCATGGAAATCATTTTACATGTATCTACATAAAATGTCACAGATTTTTAGTAACAGAATTCAAATCTGCTGCAAGCAAACAACAACAAAAACAGATTTGCTACAAAATATTTGAACTCAAGATATGTCTGTGAATTGATGACATCTGTCCAACTCAAACTGACAAGTTGGTGTGCAAAGTGATATTTACATTAAGAATAAAAATACTTTTGTCCACTGTAAAGTTTGATGTTGGATCTGCATAGCTTCAAGCATCACTGAAATGTATATATACACAGTTTTTCCAACATTCTATATATATACTGTGTATGGTATTTACTCTCGTCTACCATAAACTGTCATTAAATAAGCAGCATTAAGTAAAATGAATAGCTGGTAGCTCTAACATCAAATATGTAATACTTTGTTGAAAGGTTGTGAAATGTGCACATTCACCACCACCAATGCACGGGTTAAATTAGATCCAAATGATAGTAACAGGAACTTTTTTACAAGCATCAATGATGGTACTATATCATGCAAGAGAGGCTGAGACTGAAAAAAATTATATTTTATATTTTTTCAATGATACAGGGTAACAAACAACGTGTTACCAAATAAATTCTCTATTTCTAAAGCTTGCAGGATGAGAAACATGTAGGTTAACATAAAGCTTTAAATTCTCTATATCTAGTGTATTCAGGTTAAATAAAACAATAAAGTTATTATAAAACTCCAAAATCTCTGTTTCCAGAGCTTGTAGAATAAGAATCACACTGGTTACCTTGAAGCTTTAAATTCTCTATATCTAGTGTATTCAGGTTAAATAAAACAATAAAGTTATTATAAAACTCCAAAATCTCTGTTTCCAGAGCTTGTAGAATAAGAATCACACTGGTTCAAATCCACAAATAATTCTGATTTTTTATACAATTCTCCCAAGAAACTAATTTTATTACAATTCACATTGATTAATTTTGGTAAATCACCTAAGATTTTCAGACACTAGTTCACTGGTGTATATGTTTGCACAATACAGTCAAAATATTCTTAATACAAATATACCAAATTTTAAGCAGCATAATTCAAATATTGTGAACCCTTGCCTTATGCAGAAGTTACAGTCTTTACTTCTTAGGACAAAACATACCTGATCTCTTTCTTTCGTCAAATCTTGATTTGATTCTCCTAATTCAATACGCTCATTTTCCTTTTGGTGTAGAAAACTGTTCACCAGCCTCACTAACTCTGATGTCACTGCCCTATCATTATAGAAACATTCACCACTTTCTGTCAAAAAATTAACATGTAAAATAGAAAATGCAATGACTAACATATTAAAAATTCTACCATAGTAATAACTGTCAATCTACACAGTTAAAAAACTGGTATTATAATGTCAGAATTAAACAACTATTATATATGTTCAAAATTCATTTACAAAAGGCTTATTCAAAATGCATAGAAAACAAAATTACAATTAGTACATTCTAACAAATTTTATAAGTGAAGTTAAGAGAAGTAAATCAATATTTTTGTTGCTACTAAATCTGTAAATCATATTACTAGTTAATTTATAGATAACCCATAGGACCTACACCCCCCCCCCCTTACTCCCATTGTTCAACACACAACTTTCTAAAGCAGATACTTGAACTATGTATATTTGTATGTTATCTTAAACATGTTTTATCCTAGTTTGGGAAACGGACTGTAAGCTATGTGTGGTAGAAAATTCCACACCTTATGACCAACCTATTTGTTCATCCTCTGGTCCACTCTTCAAATTTATATCCAGTAAGAGGAAGTTTTCCAATGCCACAATCATAATGGCTCAAGTAAGGTGTTTCAAAGTTCCTTCCAGCCTTGAAATTATTTTTACAGGGTATGCTAGTCTTTTACAAATGGCTGGTGTTTAATGCAAGTTGAAGTTTCTTTTTTGAACATTTACACATTTAACACTGTTGTAGTTGCAGCACATATGAGTTATTGAACAAGGGTTAGGAAACTGGAGTATCCCAGGTATTTTATATTTCCATATATACATTTATAGCTAATACTGTTAGATTCGCAAATTAGGGTTTACTGGCAAAGGGTTGGGAAATTGGCATAGTCTTAAGAGCAAGGCATACAAGTTCATATATTTTTGTACTACAGTTACTATAACAAATAGATGCATTTTTTTAAGACATTAGACAGTTTCAAAAGAAAATATGAATACTTTCTATATATATAAAATGAAAGTTTTATTGAAAAATAATGTTGTTTAGTGATTTCTTTACTGTAAATTGAGTTAATACAAAAACTGTAGTAGTTATCACAGTCAAACTTTTCTTATATATACATGCTGTAACTTGAGTTAGTAGGGAAAGAAGTGTAGTAATTATAATTGTTAAACATTTCCCAGGATGTCAACCAATATATTAAAAGAAATGTAATAATTGCATTGGTAAAACTTTGCTATATATTTAGGCTTTTAAAATTTATAAAATATTTTCAATCCAGATACCCCATTATTTCCCAGAAGATATTAAGTGTGGTTCTCAAAAACAATGCACATTTCCATATGCAACAAAGAGCAAGAAATTTATTTTGACCATGAATGGGGAAAAAATACTTTATTTGAAACCTTGCAGAAATTTCTTAGAAAAAAAAAATTATAATGGATCACGTTATGAATTGAACTTTTATGTAGTGTAAACGTTTCTCATATTACATGTAGAGATCTGAAAGACTGCAATTGCTTTGCTCTCACAAATGTAGAGAAGACAGAACAAAAAATAAAAAAGATATGAACCCCTTAAGATTCCTTTTACGTATTTACTTTTTAAATCATACTGTAAAGAACAACAAGAATTAACTTTAGATAGCCACTTAATATTTGGTCCACAATTAATGCTAGAGCATTATTAATCCTAGAAAATGAGGAGGGCTAGGATAAACTAAATGCAAAAAAATAAAAGATGTAGAGAAAAGTTTAGCATAGAAAATGAGTATAGAAGTAGTTCTAAGGACAGGCTTAATTGTTACTATTGTAAAGCTAGAACTAAAGGAATTAAAACAGATGACTTTAGGGCACTAGTAGGATTTTTATATAATAAGAATAACTGAAATATGATTATATGTAGATGATTTTGATGACAGAAATTTCCTTGAAATACAGGGTGATAGGTTATTTCATAGGGATAGAGTACTAAACAGAAGGGTAGGAGTGGCTTTATATGTAAAATGTGAATTACATCCTGTTGAAGTTGAGGATATCAAAGATACTAGCAAGGAAATTGAATCCATCTGGGTTTCTATTAGTGCATATAAAGGAAAAAGGCTTTTAATGGGAATTTGTTACAGACCACCAGATGATATTGATGAAATTAATGAGAAACTTTACAGTAAGATTATGATTTCAGCTGTTAATGAGGTCATAATTATGGGTGATTTGAATTTCAGGCATATAGATTGGGAAATATTAGAGTCAAAGCATGAGGGAGAAAGTTTTGGGAAACTGTTCAAAATGGTTTTCTTTACCAGTCGGTCAAGGAAACATAGAAAAAATGTTATTTTAGACTTATTGTTAACTTCTAATGCAGATATTGTTGTGAAGGTGGAAATTGGGAACATCTGGGTGTAAGTGATCATTGCTCTATTAGGTTTGATGTTTTGCTGCATATGGAGATCAGGAATAATGATATTTTGGTTACAAATTTCAAAAAAACAAATTTTGAAGGAATTCAACAAGAATTATCTGTTGTGACTTGGGCAGCTGAGTTATTTGGAGACACTGATCAAATGTGGAAAATTTTTAAGGATCAAATCTTAAATATTGAAAATAAACATATTCTTTATAGAAAGAAATGGGTAGCTACAAGTAAAAATCTCACAAAACTTATAAGAGAAAAAATTAGAGAAAAGCATCACAAGTTTAAGAAATTTAAATTAACTGGTATGATGGGAGATTTAGAAGATTATAGAAGATCAAGGAAGTTGGTCAAATACAAAATTAGGATATCAAATGAATGTATGAAAAAAGATTGGCTGAAAATGTAAAAATGAACAGTAAGGATTTCTTTAAGTACATTAATGGTAACCAAAATGTTAGCATGGGGTAGGACATTTAAGGAATGATAAAGGAAGGCTTGTATCTGATGATTGTAAAATGACTGGGCTATTAAATTCTGCTTTTTCCTCGGTTTTTACTAGTGAGGATTTAGGCAGTATTCCTCATCTTGAACAATTGATAGATGGAGGTAGGGTCAGACAATATGAGTGCATTAATCCTGAGCTTGTTATGAAAAAATTGGGAAGTTTAAAAAATGATAAGGTTCCTTGGCCAGGTTAACTAATGTAACTCCTCTTTTCAAGGAAAGTAATAAAAATTGTCCCAGTAATTATAGATCCATTAGTCTTACATCAGTTGTGGGAAAGGTTTGGGAAAGTCTGATAAAAGACGCTTTGAAAAGTTGCAGAACAAAGTTTAGAATTTTATTGGATAGTCAACATGGCTTCACTAAGGAAAAATCTTGCCTTACAAATCTTTTGACATTCTTTGAAAAAATTACTGCTTATGTAAATGAGGGTAAGTGTAGATTTGGTGTATCTGGATTTTCAGAAAGCATTTAACAAGGTGACACATAAAAGGCTTGTAAAAAGATTATCTCTATAGGTGTGGGGGATAAGTTAGCAAATTGGATAGAAGAGTGGCTGGATGGAAGAAAGCAGAGGGTTGTTACAAATGGAGTTCAGTCAAATTCTATTAATGTCACAAGTGGGGTACTTCAGGGCTCAGCCTTCGGACCTTTTCTCTTTTTGATTTACATCAATGACATAGATGAAGGAATGGTCAATAAATTACTTAAATTTGCAAATGATATTACATATAAGTCCTTACAAAATGACACAAAATATATTTCATAAAAAATCGTCCATCTTTGTTTGTTTTGCACATTTAACAGAGTCACTTTGAATGTTCATGAGTCAAGAAGCATTACATTGTTAGTTTTCAGCACACGATTTTAGTATCAATTTATAAAATAACATGCAATAAATATCCAGAATTCTACATCAGAGAAACCAGAAGAAAATTGGAAACCTGACTCACCAAACATAATAAAAAACATCCCATACTTGTATTTACCACCATTGCAATTCAAAAACTCCACAGTATATCTATACAAAATGCTGTAATCTGTAATTTCATACAAAGAACCAAACATTGGAAGCTACATATCTTAATTGAATAAAATAGCCTCACCCTAAATCACAATTTCACTTTGAAACTTGGATCCTTTGATCTCAGTTCTGAAAAGGGATCATTCCAAGAATGTAAAAGAATCAGTAATGGAATAAGAATAAATATCTGAACTAAATTATTGCTAGACTCTAGCCAATACCTAATAAGGTAATTCTCTCTGAATACAAATACTACATAAATTGTAATATGTTGTATTAAAACAATTTCAAGTTCACTAAAAATTCTCTAATTTCCATGTTTCTTTAATTTTCTTGTTGTTTTTCACAACTTTGGTCTATATCAATGTCCATGTCACATTTCTATATCAATACTTTGAGCCTTCTTCTTCTTCACAGCAACTTTCTGTTCTCAGCTTGAGACATTCGCAACTTTCCAGGATGCCTTAAGGCATTTTATTAGCCATGCACAAATTAGTCTTGCTAGTAAATTCTCATCAAGTTACTTAAGGTCTAGGTCACTAGCTCAAAATCTACTACATTCACTAAAAGAATAAACCTTAATTCCATGAGCGGGGCAAAAACAAACAACAGTTTCTGACCACTCCTGGTTACCTTTCAGGACCTGAAAGTTTTTAAACTGAAATACCTACATGTACCAAGGAGTTTGACTTGAACACCCTGAGGTACCAAGATACATATGTTATGCTGTGAAGCAATCTCCAGTCATGTGACCTCTTTGTTCCATACTGTATACACTGTATTCATGTGTCTCTGTAAATTACATTACTGATATGAAGAAAAGTCATTATAGAGTGGTCGTTATTCAACCTCTGCCAAAAAATCACGGTTGTATGTCGCATCTGTCAGGAAGTCGTTTGTGGGAGGTCAGATCAATGTAAAATCATTCTGTGCAAAGAAAAAAAAGACATGTTTATAAGGAAGTTGTTATTGTACATTATTTTAAAACAAGTGGCTGTTTATTGTTCAAATTTATCGCAAACAAATCACAGATACCTACTGTAAAGAATCTGGCTCCTATAAAACCTGAGATGGATTTTGATTACAATAAATGAAAATAATACATGTGGGTTATCATAATTTGAATTATAAGTATAATTTGGTTGGGAATAACCTTAACAGAGTTATGAAAGAAAGGGATCTTGGTGTAATAATTGATCAGTCTCTAAAGCCATCCAAGCAGTGTACTGTTGCTAGTGGTAGGGCAAATATGATTTTAGGTTGTAACTACAAAAATACTGAATACAAGTCTAAAAAGGTTATAATTTCCTTGTATAGGTCACTGGTTAAGCCACATTTGTAATATTGTGGTCAGTCTTGGGCTTCTCACCTTAGGAAAGACATTGAATTGTTGTAAAGGGTTCAGAGAAGGGTTACTAGAATGATGCCTGGGATGGAGGGGTTGTCATATAAGGAGAGGTTGAAATCTCTCAAACTGTTTTCTCTTGAAAAAAGAAGAGTTAGGGGAGATCTGATTGAGATTGTAAAGAGAATTGATAGTGTCAATGCATCATTTTTTTTCATAATTAGCAGTACGAATAGTAGGACTAAGTGACACAAATATAAATTTTGGTAAGGTAGAAGTCATCTTCATGTTAAGACAGTTCTATTTTTCTAACAGGGTGGTTGGCCTTGGGAATGGGTTGCCTTCAGAAGTTGTGGAGACAGTAAATTTAAGTGCATTTAAGAGAAAGCTTGATAGCTATATGAAAGATAAGAGCTGGCTTTAAAGTTTTAAAAAAATAGTTTTTGTTTAGTTTAGAGGATGGGACAGCTGAGATGGATCAATAGGTCCCTTGTTGTCCCTAAACATTAGGTTATGTTATAAACATTGTTTTCTCATAATGAACATTGATCCACTGTTCCAAACAAATATATAATTTTTTATTGTGTTTAACTGTGTGTTAACTTCCTATTCTATCCTTGAAAAATTTATATACTTTCCATTATAATTACTGAAAACATAAATTACCTGTTCACTGCTAATACATCTTTCAAATATGTAAGTTGTTTCTCCAAAATTTGCTTCTTTTTCTCCATAGTTTTGAACTGTTCATTCCACTCTTTGTCCTTTCTGATGAGTTTCTCTTGATATAGGAGCTCTTGCATTTTAAGAGCCTGGTTAACCTCCTCTTCACTGAATGTTTTCTGTTCATGAAACAGAAGGTAACGTTTTCTTACACTGAAAATGTATTTCTAATAGGTACTTACCTTTTCTCTCACACAAAAGCTATCTTGATCTTTGTCTGCCCTCTAAGCATTGCTAAGATGTAATCAGTGCACCAGTCTTTATACGTCACCAGTTTCTCACCATTTCTGAACATGTACATATCATATGATTACTTTCCACCAATAGTGTTCCACCAACTATAATAGCGCAGCTAGGTTCCTCTGCTATTTCCACTCAATCCTCATTTTTGAGAATTGGCAGGTACTAGAACAAAAACACCGGTTTTAGTGGGGAAGAATGGTGGGAAGTGTGTGAAAAGATGTAATTACCTATTAGAAACACATTTCTGAACATGTACATATCATGTGATTACTTTCCACCAATAGTGTTCCACCAACTATAATAGCGCAGCTAGGTTCCTCTGCTATTTCCACTCAATCCTCATTTTTGAGAATTGGCAGGTACTAGAACAAAAACACTGGTTTTAGTGGGGAAGAATGGTGGGAAAAGATGTAATTACCTATTAGAAACACATTTTCAGTGTAGGAAAACGTTAACTTCCGAAACTGACTTACCTCCTTTCACACAAAAGCCAAAATCCCACATTACAAAGGTGGAGGGAGTTTGGTGCACAAAGAACAAATCAAGCAGAGAGCAACCACTCAGAATGAACGGATGTGCTTGGGGATGAAAATGAAACACCTCTGTGGGGTATTGCACTACTTTTGGAACAGGTATGCTCTTCGCCCAGGAATAAGGAAAGGTACACAAAATGAACAGAAAACGTAGGGCTTGTACAAATGTATAGTGTTAAGAAGATGCAAGTGTAGCATCATACAAGGAGAGAAAAAAAGATTTAATAACAGCAAGTGGCTAAGGCATGTAGACCATGTTATCGATACCCAACAACCCCAACTGTAAGTAAACAGTGTTGTACGTCAAGCAACCAGAATTAAAAAGATGAAGTAAGCAACAACCATAATCAAACCAACTCCCAAAAACCTCCATGGGAGCAAGAAGTACGACAAACTGAATCCAGCATTATGGGGTCTTGGGACTGCCTCAACTCAACCATAAGAATAGGGATAGCTGTAGCTGATATAATGAGCAAAATCATAATTTACTCAACCATAAATGCAAGACAGAGACATCCTGTATCTGGAATTAAGAGGACAAGCAGCATTTGTCCAACTATAGGAACATAGCACAGACATCCCACTGCAGGTATTATGAGGCAAACAAAGTCTTTCAAGCCCAACTGTAGAAGCTGAAAAGAACATTCTACAACTAGAATTAACAAGAAAAGAAGCGTCTACTGCACGCAATCGTTGTCATCCTGAACCTGGAATTAGAGGAGGTTTTCATATAAGATTGCCCAAATTATTATTTGATCATTTTTTTTATTCAGTGTGGTCTACCCAGAGAGAAAACATCTGGGAAAAGCACCATTAGGGAACTGTGTGGATAAACAAGTATAAGTATAGTAACATGGAACTGAGCAACTGGGAACTGAGAATGGTAAGAACTCCCATGCTCCACTAGAACGAAAATAGAGGTAAAAAGGCAGTGGGGAGTCTGGAGGAATGTCACACAGGAGACAGTGCAATAGGTGACTGAGTTTCCCTATTTTGAAAAGCAGGCCAAACCTAATTAAGGAATCAAAGGATCGGCAGAAATCCCCTTCTGCTTTACTCATGAAGTCCATGAGTGATGGTTCACCAAAGATATAGTTTTAATGATTTCTAATACAGCACCCAGTAATCTTACAGTAACCCCCCCCCAACTTAACTGTAAGCATTATATAGTTACTTTAATTAGTGAGGATTTGAAACAAAGTTTACCTGACCAGGCAACACCCACCACAAGGTGGGTTCTATAAAGAAGAAGCTAAGATTAGGGAAGCTGAAAAGAAAACACAGATGAAGGGAAGCAATAAGACTTACTTGAGGTAAAGGGAAATGGATGTGTGTAGAATTGCTATTGGAGGAAGATGATATCCACCTGAGGAAGACACAGCCATATCTAGCAGATAATGAATGACAAAGGTATTGAGAGTAGTTCACATTCCAGCCGACCGATCTCCCACAAAAGATGGCGAAGGCGAGCAGCAAAAGATATTGTGATGAATTTGATGTGAAAAGACGTTGTGGAGATGGCAATCTACCATGGATAAGTCTGAATAAGCCAGCCGAATGAAATTGACAAACTCAACCGGTGGAAGTAACATGTTCCAGAACACTGGAGAATGAAGGGTTCCAGGGAATAAGGGGCAGAATGTACCACATAACACCTGATGGATTTGCTTTTGTTTGTAATTAAGCACAAGGCTACACAATGGGCTATCTGTGCTCTGCCAACCACAGGTATTGAAACCCAGTTTCTAACACTGTAAGTGTGCAGACATACCACTGTGCCACTGGGGGGTACACCTGAAGGAATGAACCAGACATGGAAGCCTATCTGGATCGGAATGAAAGTACAGGTGGGAAATGGAAGGTAAGGAAATGTGTGTGAAAGCAAGAACACTGTCACTTGCAGCATAGGTGCTAGGGAGGAAGGACCAAGGTCAGGACAGACGATGACATAGGAGGAATGGTATTAAAATCTGAATGATGACAAACACAAACAAGAAGGAGAAGGAATTAGTTCATGAGAGAGGGAAGGTAGATGGAACATTAAGACAAATGGTGAAATGTAGGACAGGAAAGGGCATAAAGGACCACATTGGATCTCAACAGGCAAAGCAAAGGAAAAGAAAGGAAGGAAAGGTCAGGGAAAGACAAAATCCAGAATAAATGGAAGAAGATAGACAAGGCTGCCCAAAAGCAGGAACACAGATGAAGTGGACAAACCTTTGACAAACTACCAGGTGAAGAATAGGGAAGGAAGGGAGGGAAGGACAGAAACCATGGTAAAGAGATCAAAGTTGGAGGTATACTAATATCAGTGAGAAACGGACATGGAAGAAGGTCTTGTGGATCAGGAAGGAAGGAGTCAGGCCCTAGACTGAGACAATAAAGAAGACAAAACCATGCATGAAGACAGAGAGTGGCAATACCTGTGGAATGAGGGAACACTTTATGATGAGAATCTTGTAGAAAGATAATAGAACCACCATCAGATAGAGTGAGCCAGGAAAAAGGCAAGTGAAGACCACAATGTGATACCAGTGGGCTCAGAAAAAGATACCCGGGATCTGAAAGCACAGAAACCAGGAATCAGTACTCCCTGGCTCAGTAACATTAGTGACAACAGTGGAGAGGTAGGAATGTACCATTATTACCACCCCCTCCCCAGGGCTATCTGTTCTATCCATCCCTGATTTAGCAATGAAAGACTAGAGAGAAGGCAGCTAGTCCTCACCCCAAGTGCCAACTCTCTTGGGTTACTCTTTTACCAATGAATAGTGGGAATGAGCATGTTTGGTGGGACATGGCATCAAATATGTAACCCTCAGATTGAGAGTCAAGTGCGATAACCACCTGGCCATGCCGAGCCAAAAGGAGAGACCAAAGTGGCAACTCAATGAGTGTTCTCTTCCTCAGAAGCAGTGTCACACTGAAAATAAGTAGAAAACTCCCTGTAAACCAAGGCATGCGCTTCCTCAGCAGATAAAATTAACCTTTGTCCTGGGAAGTTATGCCATGAGCATTTTTGCCTGTTGCAGTAATATCAATGTCCGCTACAGGAAACCCAAAATTCATACTAAAACACATATAATGCTGGAACAAGAAAATTTCGAAAGCAAATTTGTGAAAACAAATGAAATTAAACACAAAATTAGAAATTGTTGAATTAACTGTAGATACACTTGAGAAAATCAAATACATGTCTAAACTGTGTTATGTGTGAGGATTAAATGGGAATAGCAGAGGAAGATAGCTTCACCTTTATAGGTGGCACAATACTATTGGTGGGGAGTAGTCACATGATATGTACATGTTCAGAAATGGCACAAAACTGGTGGAGTACAAAGACTGGTGCATTGATTACTAAAAATTCTTTTAGCAGTGCTTAAAGGGCAGATAACGATTGAAATATCTTTTCTTTTGTGAGAGGAGATGAGTCCGTTTCGGAAGTAACAGCTTTATTCATGAAACATCTAATAATGATACTTAGAATTCTGAGTGGACTGTATTCCACTTGATAAGATATACTTAGATCTACGGCATCTTGCCTGAATTCAAGCATGACACTTGTGGTATTCTCAGGTTGAAAGAAGTAACTGGAGATGATGTAAGACATGAAATTAACACAATCTTTATTTATCACCAAAATAAAAATAGAGTGTGTACTTGGTATTGGGATGCTGGACAGTCACCTTTCACTGGACTTGTGGATTAATCAACTCACTTTTCTCCATCGAAATGTCTTCCTTTCAACCAATTCACTTAAGTTAAGGAACAAAAATGTCTTCGCTATCAAGATCTATTCAAGAATATTTAAGTCAAAGTTTTCTTACTTGCCAAGAAACATCAGATTTACCCATAATGATTATAGCTACCTACATGACTGGTCGTTCTCATATAGGAGGCTATAGCCTTAAGAGATCACCTGACTAACCAATGGAGGACATTGGCTGGTTCTTTCATTCTTGTACAACATGCAGCATTACATAGGCAGGAAAGGTGTGACTTCAATAAAATTACAAAGTAACAAAGGTAGCTAGAAAGACATCAATTTAATGACTTTCTGGACTGTGTGTTGTGTGAAAACTGCAAATGATTAGAATAAATGAAAAACTTTGAAAAATTCTTCATTAAAATATGAAAGGCAGAAAACACATGATATGCCTGCTTACAACACATACATAAACAATAAGAATTTCCTCATTAATTTCACCCAAACAAAAAACATGTAGAATGTTTAATAACATAGAATCATATACAATATGAAAAAATAACAGTCATTTATGAAACAACATTACAAACACAATTAATTACAACTTTTTGTACATTAAACTATGGATCACTATAGTTAGTTCCAGCACCTTTATTAGATGTTACAAAAATACAGTTAATGTACTATAAAAGTTCTACACAGATATACAGTAAATTTTATACCTGATTCTTAGAAGACAAACTGGTTGATCTTCGTTGTTCTAGCTGAAAAACAGAAAAGGTTAGTAAACATGTAATCTATTAAGTTGAGATGATGGTTAACTTTTTTAATGTTATGAGCCCACACATGTTCTGCTCATACATAAGCTTTGTTTAGCCTCCAAAAATATGTTAATAACCACATGGGAATGTGGTTATTCCTTTCATATTTTCTATTGTTTATCAGTTTCAAGACTAAGTTATGTAATGAAATATTAGAATGTGTCTTTCTTTATTTTTTACTGTGCATTTACAAATAAACATCAAAGTTGTTACCTATACTGATTAGTTCAACAACAAATATAAACATCAAAGTTGTTACCTATGCTGATTAGTTCAACAACAAATATAAACATCAAAGTTGTTACCTATGCTGATTAGTTCAACAACAAATATAAACAT